TCTCGCGGCGGTCCTGGGGAGAGAGCAGAGAGGGCGAGGGCGGGCGTTAGTGCTGGGGTTTTCTGTACAGGGGTTTCGGAAGGGATCGGGGCTTATTTGTCCATTGTACAGAGTTGGGGAAGCCAGCGAGCAAAGTCAGATAATACCTGCGGTAAAACCTAGGTACCCCATTCTCAGCTCAGATGCTTGAAAAAGCCCAGGCTGCCTGCCCCTCTGCTTGACAGGGAGGCGGTTAGTGCTTAGGAAGGCTCGCTTTGGAGGCACACCCCCTACCTATTGAATGAACCTGGATAAGTTTCTCCAGCAGCAGAAGCAACTGGAAACCTCTGGACTTCAGTTTCTTCTGTAAAATGGGGGTCTAATATCAGCACGTACCCCTAGAGGTTTGTTGTGAGGATTCAGTGACAGAACTCACTTAAGAGAGTGTTACATGTATGAGAAAATTCTCTGGAAGAAAATAAGTGCTCACTAGATGTCAGTTTTCGTAAAGAAATACTTTATGAAATATCTTATTTCCATAGGGGTGGAAATAAGACTTTTAATGTATTATTTTTTTATGTAAGTTTAGTTTTTTGAACCATATGGATGTATCTATTCAAAACCTAAAAATAAAAATATCGATTATCATTAAGGTTGGACTTAGGCATAGGCTTTCTCAGCCCCCTTGCCATGTTGCCATGGTAACCTTTTTTTTTTCCCCCTTGGATGCCTTGATCAGGGAGGAAGTTCCCACTGACAGATGAAAACACAAAAGGAAGATGGGTCATTCTTCCCTAGGCAGCACACTCCCCTCACTGGACTTCTTGCCTGCATGGGGTGGGGAGTGTGGACATCCTTGAGGTTATAAAACACTGCTCTGCTACACACTATCATACCTGTTTCCTGCCTACTTAGGGGCTTTTCAGTCTACAAGGTTCAGTCTTATCTTTTCTGTCTCATTAGATCCTCACAACAGACAGATGAGATAGCTGATATGATTACATCCATTTTACAATGATGAAGGTGAAGTTCAGGAGTGTAAATAACTATCCTGTGTGTTCTGCCTCTCCAGGAAATGTGTATGTGTGTGTGTGAAAGGTGAGAGAGAGAGAGAGAGAGAGAGAGAGAGAGAGAGAGAGAGACTATCTGCTGCTGAAAGGCTGTATCATGCTTAAGTGATCTGAACTGGTCTGAAAATAGAGAGAGAAAGAGAGAGAGAGAGAGAGAGAGAGACTCTCTGCTGCTGAAAGGCTGTATCATGCTTAAGTGGTCTGAACTGGTCTGAAAATGGAGGGGCTGGGGATCCATGCTCAGCGTGTATCTGCTAAACCATCCAACTGTTCATCCAATCAGATTCCAGCAATAAACCAGTCTGCTTAGGCTTTAATCCAATCCAAATTCACCAGCAGTCATTCCTCAGAGTCCAGAACTAGCCAGTCCATACAGTGCCTCCTACCCAACCAAAATCTAGAACCATTTATAATGTCCATTCTCTCATCCAATCAGTAATCAGACACAGCCAAGCCACTCAGTCTCTCATCCAATCAGAATCTAATTTCTCCCCATCAAAAGGAAGCAACATAGAGTTATTGTTTTCTCCACACAATAGAGCAGCTACTAGATGAGTCGAGACTCAGAATTTGAGCCCTTTAACCTGAAGAGGAATGCTGTACAGCCATCTAAACAGATTTTTCATGGGATGGTAATGCTGGAGTGACCCTTAGGGACCTCCTGGAGACATCCAAGGCCCCAGTCAAGTAGGAAAGTTAAAGCTCAGCATGGGATTCATCCCCATTTACTCCCAGGGTCAGAGGTGTGTATAGGTGAGCCAGAGACACTGGGAGTTGCTTTGTCTGAGACATCCCGGGAAGCCTTCCCGTCAGCTGAGCTGTGGGAAGTGGTGCCAAAAGTTCAAGATCAAAGCCTATCACATGCATTGAGGCAGAGTAACCAGGGCTCTTCAGCCAGGAGAAGAGTAGGCTTGGGCAGGGGGAGCTATAACTGTCTGAAATCCCTAAGGATTGTCTCTGCCTTTGGTGGCCACAAGGGGAAGACTAGGGCCCGCAAGTAGAAGTAACAGGATTTATTTCTCAAGCCTGGATTGGAATGTTGGGGGCAGTGGTGAGCAGCTAGGTCTTCATCATTTGGAGATGGGCCAGAGTCTGACCTCATTGGAATTGCCATGGCTGGGAACTGCCATAGCTGGGCACTGACTCTGTGTGTGCAGGGGAAGAAGTGGGGTGCACCATACAAAAAGGCTGTGGGAAATCAGAACTGTTCACTTTCTGACAAAGGTCTCAATGCACCATATGCACCAGAACTCTTTGGATTTCCAAGGAGTGAAAATTCAGAAAGCAGCACCCACTTAACCCAGAATTAGCCCCAAAGCAGGGTACGTGTGTGGGTGAAGGCATGGGTAGAGCAGAGTCAGACAGGAACTATCAGAGACCAAACACAGCTAGCTCTCAGACTGCTTTATACAGTCCTGTCATTGCAAAGAAGGGGAAACTGTGGCCCAGAGATGGGAAAGGGTTGTCTAAAGTCACACAAGGAGTCAAGTGCAGATCTGGAACTAGAACCCACTTCTTCTGACTCTCCGTGCAGTTTGTTCCTCTCCACCAGGGGCAGAAACTCAGTATTTTCAGGAGGCAGGTAGTGATGAACAACATGGAAAATGGCTAGATTTGGATATAGGAAGAGGAAGAGGGGACCTGAGCAAACCGGAAAGTCTATGGTCTGGCTAAAGGCATTTAAATTCTGCTTTTAAAGAACTCAAGACAAACGTGGACCATAAGAGGTTGCGAGTTTTCCTCATGCTCTACGGAGTTTTTGGCCAAACTCCGAAGGAGAAAACCCAAAATATGTGATTTCCACAGGACTCTAGTTTCCAGGGAAGAGAGAGGGCAGTCCTCACTCCCAAGCCAGCACACATCTGTACCCATGGCTGATCCAGTCACGCAGCAGATGCAGGCAGCACCAGAGACACACCACACATTCACACACAGTAACTGAGCAGTCCCGCCCCACCTCCCAGGCCAGAGTCTGGGAGAAGGGAGAGAGCCCTGAGCACCATTCAGCGAGCGCGGAAGAAATAAAGAAGCAAGACAGATTCGAGGCAGAATGTATTGAGAACAGGAGAGAAAACAAAGTTTGGGGAAGAGCTCGGCCAGCCTGGCTGCAGGAGTTGCAGGACGAGGGTGGGCTCTTCCGCTGCTGGCCCTCGGGAGTCCAAGGGAGCAGGGGTCTAGGCGAGGAGCTTCGCTCTGTCCTGGGAGGGGCCTGGCATGAAGGAGCGCTCACTCACGACTCCCCCGCACATGCCCCTGTGTTCTGGGCAGAATGAACTCACTGAGAAGGGGGAAGGCACCCCCTGTTCCCATGGAGATGAGCCTGGAGCTCACGAAAACTGCAGGCTCAGCCCAGCATGGGCACCGCCTCCACCACCCCTCTTCCCGCTGGGGAGCCCAGAAATAGGGCTGGGAAAGAGAAAGTGGGTGGTGCCTTGGGAAACTTCCATCTGTATTCTGCCTCTTCTATATTCTCTCACCCCCCCCCAAAAAGCCTGGTTTTGGGGGGCTGCAACACATTAAAGGTGTCAGAGGTGGTGAGGCTCTCAGACTAGCTGACTCAACATCCTCACTGCACTACGAGTGGGGAAACTGAGACCCAAACACACACATGGAGTCAGTCTCTTATGTCCCAGCCTTTTCCTCGAAACCTTAAGGTGCCCTCGGCCTCATTCCACTGAGCTGCTGTGCTCCTGCCCCAGCCCTTGCCATGCTCCCACTGTCCCTAGGCAATGCTGTGCCTGCGCCATCCCAGGCCAGGCCTCTGACCCCCTGGATCCTGCGGCAGCTCACTCCAGCTACACCCTCCCCAGGATGCCCCGTATCTGTTCTATGGCAACTGTCCATTTCCTTCCCCTGTCTTCTTAGGAGACTGCCTTTATCACTTGCAAGGCCTTTCTCCCAAAGCACCAGCCTATCCTCTCAATCCTCACAGATTGTCACAGCCTGTAGAGCCCCCAATTATATAAATAAGAAAACCGAGGCCCAGAAAGGGAAAGTGACTTGGCTAAAGTCACACAGCAAATGGAAGGCTGAGATGGGACCAGAACCCTCCTCTCCTGCCTCTCTCCCTGTGGCCCCTGCCACTGCACAGAGATGACTGCTTTTATTCAGGCAGATTGGCTGAGGTTGAAGCCAAAACAGCCAACAGGTATATATATATATTACTTGGGGTCTCTGTCTTCACTGCACGCCCACATCTGCACATCCTTCTACAGGGCTCTCCTGCTCTCACGGGTCCCCTGGGATCCCCTCTACCTCAGAACAGTGAGGGCAAGCCAGATGGAGCTGGGGTGGAGGTCTGGGATGAACTGCTTTAGCTGTCCCTAAAGTGGAGCCGGCAGTTTAGAGAGGGCATGGAGGCAGCTGAGCAGCAGGGCAGGAAGAAAAGCGTCAGACAGCAGTGGTGGGCTAAGTCCTCATCCTGCAGAAGAACCCAGGAGAGGAGAAAATATGGAGGCCAAGGCAAAGCTCTCTAAAGTAGTGGAGAGGAAACGGTGTCCAGAAGGCAGAGGTGGAAGAGAGAGACCTGTGGAGGTGAGAATCCAGCGACAGGCAGAAAGATGCCACGAGCCGAGGCCACAATGAGGGTGGCCCCACTGGGCAGCTGAGGAGGCAGCCCCTTGGCTGTCTGGTTCCATAGGCACTGGCAGGCTCGGTTTGCTCCAGAAGCCCCTGATTGGGCCCCCTTCTAGGCCATTCTCCAGCAAGACGCTGGCTTCCCTGTAGTTCACAAAGGCCAAAGGAACCCCCAGGCTCGTTAGGGCCTGCCAAGGGAGTTCTCTCTTCATGACCCTCCTCCCCTCCGAGTAGCAGACCAGATCCCCCAGACATGGATGGAGTTCAACCACCCTTGTGGTAGGGGACGGGCAGCTGCAACTCAGAGAGGGGTGGTGATCTGCTCAGTGTCACAAAGCTAGCTGGTGGCAGCGTCAGCCCTTAAGCCCTGAGTCCCCAAACTCCTGACTCTCAGCCCTGTGCCACTTCCTGCCACATCTGCTCTCCATCCTGCCCTCGGAGACGGGGCCCTGACAAGCAGTGGGATCCCGGTGGGGTCCGTTACTTGAAGCAGAAGGAAGGCTTCCACACCTGAGCCTCGATCCCGGCATTCCGGGTGGAGAAGGAGGGCCTGGGGGCCTGCTTGGCTCGGGGAGACCAGGCCCTGGAGGGAGACACAGGGGAGATATCCCTGCTGTAGGTAGGGCTCACAGCAGTGGGCTGGAGGCCGTCCTGGCCAGGGGCCGTGTAGAGGCCTGGTGAGGAGCGGGTGGGCCGAGGCAGGGCGGGTGACCGAGGGAGGGTTGTCTTGGGTAGGCTGGGTACCAGGTCCAGGGAACTTGGCTTGGCAGGTGAGGCGGCTCTTGGAGAGGCCTTGGTAGGTTCCTTGATGGGAGAGAGGACAAAGAGCGAGGGCCGCAGCTGGTACGGTGGCTGTGGCTGCTTGGTGGGCTCTGGGCGCAGGACCCCGTCCTCGGGCAGGTAGCCGTGGTAGAGGGAGGCAGGTGGTGTTCGAGCTGGGCTTCGAGATGCCACTCGGAGGCTGCCAGGGGCATTCGTGGAGTATTTCCAGGACGAAGGCAAGGACATAGTGGGTGAAGGGCAGCGGGCCAGTTCAGCATGGCCCGAAGACTCGATGACATACTTCTCCATGCGGGACTGGCGGCGGGCATAGAGCTCGGCCCCCTTCCCAGAGGCCTCAGACAGGTTCTGGTTGGGTTTGGGCTTTGGCTTGGCCTGGATGCGCGGGGACTTGAGGCAGGAGGCCCACTCAGGGAGGACGTCCTCGGCCGCAGCGGGGCTGGCCCTGTCCCGGGCCACCGGCTCCTGCTGGAAGTTGGAGGCCTCAGCCCCCAGCGCGAAGGGCTCCTCCTCCACGCCGGCCTCCCCCTGGTCCCTCTGCCTCCGCTTCTCATCAGCTGTCTGCACCAGATCCAGCAGGTCTGGATTCGGGGTCACCTTGGGCTTCTCCACAAAGGTGAACATGGATTTCCGGTTGCCCCTCCGGGCCATCGACTCCTCCAGAATGCCCGTCTTGCTGGCAGGAACTGCCTGACCTTTCAGATGGGAAGGCTTGAGGTCAGAGCTGGGGTACAGGGCAGAGTAAGAGGGGGGAGACCTAACCCGGGAAGCCAGGGGAGCTGTGGACAGGGTCTCAGCATAGGTGGGGGGTGGGGTGAAGTTCCCCAAGGGGCGTCTCTCCAAGGCTGGGCTTCGCTGTGCCACGGGCCTCCTCTCCACCATGGGGCTGTGGGACATTACATGTCTCTGTGGCCGAGGGCTCCTGTCTGCCATGCTGTGGAGCTGGGGAGCTGGGGCCTTCCCCCCGAGATGTCGTCTCTCTACCATGGGGCTCCGCTCCATCTGGTTGGTGCTCTCTGATGCCTGGATCCCAAAGGGCCTGGCTGTCCTGTTGACCACGGATGGGGGTTTGGCCAGCGTTAGATGCACCTCGCTGTACAGCTTGGTGGGTGTGGTGGCGGCTGCTGGGCCAGACGTTTCTTGTTCTGCTGACACCACTGGGGCGCTGGGCTGGACATCAGTGAGCAGGGAGCTAGATGTGAAATCTGGGGCCGGAGGCCCGAAGTTGGAGGTGGGAGCGGCTTCTCTAGAGAAGATGGTGGTAGGTAGAGCTGATACCTTATCAATCAGGAGTGTGCTGGATCTCACCTCCGCAGCCGGCTCCTGGGGTTGCCCAGCAGCACACAGGGTGCTGGGTTTGGAATCTGGCACGGTGCCGTTTGCTGGGAGTTGTGCCTCTGAAGAATTCTGTTGGACGTTAGAAAGCGGCAGGCTCTGAGGGGTGACAGCTGCCGGTGGGTTCTGATTGACATCTGTGGCTGGCAGGTTGTGGTTGCTGTTAGAAGCTGGTGTGATGAGGGTGGCACTGGCTGAGGGAAGGTTTTGGTTGACATCTGCAGCTGGGCTGTGGACCTCAGCTGGGGGCGGGGTTGGTGGGCTCTGCTGGGCTTCTCGGTTCTGGGACAGGTGGAGCCCATTGGCCGTTAGCAGGGCTGCATTCTCCTTTAAATAAACCACCAATGGTACCTCTTCCTCCTCACTGGCCACCTTCTCCAGGTGCCGCAGCAAGCTGGCTTCCTCTGAGCACCCCTCCATGCTGTGACTAGGGACCCCTATGTCAGGGCTCTGGCAGTCGGGGTTCCTTGGAGGGCCTGGCTCGGGGAGCGAGGTAGGACTCAGGCCGAGTCCCAGGTCATGGCCTGTGGGGCTGGCAGAGGGCACTCTGGGGGACTCCTGGCTGGGCTTCTGTCCCCTCTGGCCGTGGCTCTCCAAGGTAAACTCGTTCACCCTCTGCCGGCGCCTGTTGAAGAGCTGGACACCGCGGGAGTTGGAGCTGGGAGGGGTGGTCAGCTGGGCTGCGATCTGCTGGCTCCGAGCCTTGGCTTCTTTCAGATCCTTCTCGGTGAAGCTAGTGCTCCGGCTCAATGCTGCGGGGAGGGACAGAGGCCCAGTTAACAAATGGGAATGCAGAACCCCAGGGTTATACAGACAGACAGACAGACAAATGGCCACCTGAGCCCCTCCCACTGATGATCTTTTCCTCTGGCATTTGATCTTTACTCACTGTTTCCTAGAACTCCCTTTGTTCATAAAGATCCCTGACCTGACCATCGCGGCTCAACCCAAACGCCACCACCTTTATAAAACCTTCCCTGCTTTCCCTTCAGGGTTAACTGGACCACCTTGGAGCACCGTGCTCCCCCCGCCCCCTCACAAAGGTGGTCAATGCAGCACTTTACCAAACTCAGAAGGAACACCCACCCCAGCAGTCCAGCCCCGCTGCTACGTCCCGACTCATCTCCTCCCACCTCTCTCCTTCCCGCTGGGCTCTTCCCTGCTTTCTTTTCTGTTCCTTGAAAATGCCAAGTTTGCTCCTGTCCCAGGGCCTTCGCGCTTGCTGTTCCCTCTGCTTGGAACGATCTTTTCCCAGGTGTCATTCCATGTGGCTTCCTTCCTGCTACTCAGGACTCGCTTGAATGTCACCTCCCTGGAGGGGCCTTCCTCTGTAATCGGCCCTCCCCTTTCCTAGTCCGTCTCTTGGTCTTATTTTCTTCATGGCATTCACCACAATTCAGAATTATCTTCTTTGCATACTTCTTAATGATCTATCTTCCCACTTAGAACATAAACTCTAAGGGGGCAATAACCTTGCTTGATTTGTTCAGCATTCTAACCCTGGCCCCTAGAATAGTGTCCAGTATAAGGTGGGCCCTCACTTTGCATGACTGAATGCGTGAATGACCCCCCCAGAATGTTTTCTATGTGCCTTTCTTAGGCCCCTTTACACTTTCAAACTCATAGTATAGTCATTTGTTAAAACTAACACTTCTTCTTTTTAGAATAGGTAATAACAGTCACATGGTCTGAAAAAAAAAAAACCCCATAAAGAAGTATACAGTGAAAAAATATCCCTCCAGCTATGAGCGCCCCACACCACAAGTCACGTAACAACAGATAGTTTCTTCTATGTCCTCAGAGTTTCTTCCTATTTTTATTAAAACAGTCATTTAAAATTTTTCATATTTTAATATTACAAAAGGAATAATTGGGCTAATTTCAGCACCAACTATACTAGAACATTGTATTACTTCATTTTATTCTCATGAGAACACTAAGAGACAAGCATTACTGGCCCCTGTTTTACAGAAGTGGGAAATGAGGTCGAGAGACTTGTAAATAACTCACCAAAAGTCACATGGCAAAAGATGGCAATGCTAGAGTCAGAACCAGTCCTCTCTGGGTCCACAGCCCATGCTCAAGCTGCCTGATTGCCCCAAAGTGTCCCTTTGGGACATCCAGGAGACAGAGTCAGTGGAGGTTGGTATTCGGTCTGGGGCAGGAGTCTGGGGCCTGAGGTCAGGGATGGGGCTGGGGTCCCACTCCTATTAACCCGTAAGTTCACCATAGGCAACCATTTCTTTTTTTATCCCCGGCACCCAGCTGGCACACAGTCGTTGCTCAATATATGCTTATTGAACAATGACTGAACAAATGAATACATGAACGACAGACTGATGGACAGATAGATGGGACAGGCTGTGGCCAGGATTAGCAGCTCACTCAGTGGCTGGGAAAATTCCTCCCTCCATCACTCCCCCTTGCCCCGACTGTGGGAAGCTAATTAGTTCTTGAGGAATCTGACCTTGCCCTCCCTCCTCCCTTGCCCTCATTAGTACTGGCCATGACATGCCGCGTGAGTCTCCAGGGACAGTCTTTCTAGGCATCCTGCCAGGGAGGTTTAGAATTCATAGACTCTCAGCACTGGAAGGGCCCTCATAGAGGAGTGACTTCACCCTCCCCGTTTTAGAGATGAGGAAACTGAGGTCCAGAGAGTGGCTCAGAGCAGGGCTCCCAGTAGGGTCAGCAGGGAAGCCACACAGAGCAGAGTGACACATACCCGTGCCCACCTGTCCAGAACAGTGAGAGCACACGGCCTGCCCCACGTGCCCCTGACACCTGTGAGGGCTCCTCTCTTGCCTGGATCACCCCATCTATAAGAGACAAAGTGTTTAGGTGTTTGGCCAGGCTGCTCATCTAGGGGGAGCTTAGGTAGGGGGAAGCCAGCCACACAGAAGGACCCTGAGGGGTCCTCGGCTCATGTGATGTCCATCTCCTCTGCTCTGCTTAGAAACCAGACCTCATGGCCCACATCTGCGCTCTGCCATTTACTAGCTAGTGACCTTGGCAAGTTATTGGACCTCTTTATTGGACGTCTTGGAGCCAGTTTTCTTAATTGAGAAGGGATGGCCCACATCTGCGCTCTGCCATTTACTAGCTAGTAACTTTGGCAAGTTATTGGACCTCTTTACTGGACCTCTCGGAGCCAGTTTTCTTAATTGAGAAGGTGATTAAAGCACTATTGTTAGGGTTTGGAGGTTCTCATGAGGTCAATTATAACGGAGGCTTACAATTGTCAATTCCAGGTGGGTGGGGCAGAGGACTCACGGTACCCTGAGGTGTGCTGTTATTGGTGACCCCACTCTCCTCCCTGGAAGGGGTCAGAGCTCCTTCTAGCAAGGACATTCACTCCACATATTCGAGTCCTGAGAGGAGAGTCGACTCTTCAGTCACATAGCAGGAGATTCCAGAGTTCTGAGGCAGGGGACAGGGATTACTGCCCCAAATCACAGAACCTCAGAGTCTCAGAGATGGCTATCACTGGGTCCAATTCCTGCATCCTTAAAACCACGCCCCTGGGGGTACGAGCCTCTGTTTACCTACTCAACTGACAGGGAGCTCGCTACCCCGAAGAGGGGCCTTCTACTAATGAACATTCCTCAGCTATAAAAGTTGCTTCTTACATTACCCTCCACCCCTTAATATGGTTCTGCCCCCTACTGTCACAAAGAGAAAAAGCTTCCTCTTTCCAACCTGAGAGCCTGGCAGAGACTGAGACACAAATCACATCCCCATGGGGCATGGTCAGGATAAACATCCCCAGTCCCACTGATATTTCTTACGACACAATGACACAATTAAGGTAATTGTAGTTAACACTCACTGGGTTCTTACTGCGCACCCAGCCGTGTGCTTTACATATCTTGTCTTAATTAATTTCCATGACAACCCTATGAAGCACAAACTATTATTATCTGCTTTTTGGTAATGAGAAAACCAAGGCTCAGAGAGGTACAGCGAGCTGCCCAAGGGCACAGAGCCAGAAAGCGGTGGAGCTGGCTCACCTTTGCTCTGCATGACTCCAGAAAGCACCAAACTTTCTGGCTAGCGGGTTCCCACAGTAGGAGGCTCACAGGAAGTGCTTTGCTGTTTGGAGAACCTAGAACTCCTAAGTCTCTGCACTTTTCTTCGTTTCTCCTCGCTTCCCTGCTTCAACCCTATCCCCAGGCTGGTTCTAAAGGCCACGGGTTTAGGAAATGCTCAAATGGCAGAGCGTGATAACCCTCAAGGATAAGCTGGCCTAGGAGGCTTAGAGAGGGAAAGGGTCACAGAGGAGGCCGTGGGCCAGGACCCCGTCTGCTGACCCCGAGCTGGGCTTGGAGCCTTCCCGGCTCTGCTGTTCTGGGACAAGAGGAACATGGCAGAGCAGGCCGGGGGAGAGCCGTCGCCCTTGATCAGGCTCCCGTGCCCCCCACCCCAGACTGCAGTGACTCCATGGAAAAGGAATTCGGCGGGAGGCTTGGACAAGACCCAGCCAGCAATCCAGATGATTCTTGCCACCCTGCATAAACAAAGCTGAGAGAAGTGGGGCCGGGTCAACGACAGGCACTTGAAAGTCCCCTTTTGCAGGGCGCCAGGGGAGGTAGTTCCATCCAAAATTCCCCAGACTAGGGAACTGCCACCCCTGGCAATACCCCAGCCAGCGAGTCCAAGATTGTGCTCCCTGGTGTCACAGAGGAGCCAAGGGCCATAGGGGACAGGAATCTCACTGAGCCCCAATCTTCCTGGCTGCAGCCTGCACCTGTGCAAATCATAACACCCCACTTCTCTAAGCCTCTGTAGGGCAAGATCGGGGTGCTGGCCCTTGAAAGACTCATCCTGGGCAATGTATCATGAGCTCTGAAGACAGGCCTTCAGGAGAGGCAGGGGTGAGAGCAGGCACACGGAAAAGCTGCCCCAGGGCAGAAGACCAGGATCCAAAAAGGTCAAATCCCTAAGTGGGGGAGGGGGACAGGAAGCCCTGAGTATAGCATTGGAATGAGTTTGCAATGGCTGCTGTAATTATGGAACCCTCACCACAGCTCAGGTGCTGTGCTGTGTACTTTATGCTCATCGTCTTGTTCGATCCTCCCAACAGCCCCCAGAGATAATGTTATTCTCCCCAGTTTGCAGATGAAACCAGAGCTCAGAGAGACCTGTCCAGGGCCATACAATTTGTTAGTAGCAGAGCTGATATTCAAAATTCAAAGTCTGGTTGCTGGGTCTCATTTCTTAACTTGTTATTCTGCCTTCCAGACCCTGACTCTAGAGGGAGAAGCACTAACAGAGGCTCCAGTGCTCCTGGATGATGGTCTGCAGAATCCTGTTTCCTCATCTCCCGATCAATGCCCCCAGCAGTGCCCTCTCCCCTGCATATTCAGCTGTTTTCTCTTCTTCTTCTTGGGAGAAGAGCTGATAAACTCATTCTTACTAAGACAGAAATGACTGCTAGGACATAAAAGGCTAGTGGAGTGGGAAGAGCATGTTGTTGGGAGTCAGAAGACCTGAGTTCTAGCTGTGCTCGGGCAGAGATACACTCTCCCTCCAATGCCATCAGCTCTGCAAGCAGCTGCCTGTCCTGCCCACCATCAGGCTTGTCTGGACGAAGGAGCCGAAGAGGGAGGTGGGGCAGGGGAAGGGAGGCCAGAGCAGAAGGTCAGGACAGGGAGAGAATTCAAGGAAATGTTTCTTCACACGGCTTGCTGCCGTCAATGGGAGTGTCCAGGCCCCGGTTAGGGTGGAGTGGGAGGGGGCGGGGGGGGGCAGCCGG